AACCATTGTTGTCTGTACCAAGGCTGGTGGTTCGAACAAGGCTTGCCCAATGCTGGGAGTGTGCTTGAAAGTGGCAACTGACACTGACATGATCATGGACTTGCTTCGTCTATCTCACTACATGCTCGCTGCCTTCGTTGCTTTCATAGGATGCAATCTTCCGGCATCACTTTCATGGCAAAAGGCGACTATGCCAGACTCCAGTGGCTTATGAATGGGAATCCTGTCCCAACATGGCCATGGGTTCATCTTCGCATGTTTATGCGCTCCCGTGAACATGCAACCAACCCTTCCACGGCGAACCAGTCAGGATTCCTGGGTAGAAACCAACTCCCAGACATCTGCGCTTGTAGACGGTCAGCAAGCCAGCGTGAGGGCCTCTTCTGTGAGTCTGAAAGCTGAGTTGGTTCGCTAGAAAAAGTGTTTGAACTGTTTGGCCTCAACATACGAAAGACGCCTGGCAAAAAGCTCAGAGTGTTGAAACTGGACAGGTGGGCGATCCAGCTCTGGCTGTACGTTGCAGTCCAAGTCGGACACTTCCCACCCAGGAAGACCGGCACAAGGCACCGGGGAATTGGAGAGAACCTGACAGGTGGCCTTTCTCAAAATGGGGAACCCCAACATGTGGCGTCTCTCCGGTTTTTCTTTTGAAACATCCACAAAAAGGGTGCCCTCAAAAAAAGTCACCCATTTGAGCATCCAGGTGGTTGGCTTGTGATGAAAAAGGAAATTGGCGTGGGCCAATCTCGTCCAGCGATGGGCAAATAATATGTCACTTGGAGAAATATATAAGCAGCTTGGCAGATGGTGCTAAGGGGAATGCAAAGGAAAACTAAAAAAAACAACATTCTTGGGATCCCTCATTTGACAAACCTATCTCTGAAGGGTTTGACCAACCAATGGGGCCTCCGGGACCAAAATACACACACCCATTGGGGCCTTCATTCATCTCACAGCCGCACATGTTGGGAAAGAAAATCTGCAAACCGGGGAGAGGGGGAGGAGGGGGCCGCTCTCAAAATGCCGGCGGAGCCCCTGCTCAATGTCGAAGCCGGGCTTCCTCTTTGGAGCCTGAACCCAACGAGCCCAGAAGAAAGAAAGTGCCACCCTCTTTTTTTGGGGTGGTTTCAGGATTCCAAGACAAAGGCGAAAAGGCACTGAAGCATGGGGTACAGATTCCGCCAAATGATGGGTTGTTGGGTTCCGCGCCCTCTGGGCACGTCCATTTTGCTCTGCTTTGGTCGCGAATCAATGCACTCCCTGCATTGAGACCTGCGTTGGACAAATGCGTTCCGATCAAACTTGTGGCCTGTCAGCTTGCCTTCTGGTCAGAAGCAAGATTCGGCCCTGGCTCCGTCCTGCAAATGAGCCGTGGTGCAAACTCCATCATGGTCTTGGGTTCTTGGCACATGTCACAAATTCCCGGGTCAACGGTTGTCCCGAACTCCAAGTAATATGATGAGCTTGATCAACCTCGGCCCGTGTCATTTCATGGCCAACGCCCCCAACACCACAGCTGCCGAAATCGCGCGCGGAGCTTAAATCGTTCTCTCAAGCCGCGATGGTTCAGACTTGCGCGGCCCCAAATGCGTTTGACTTGGGTCCCAACAAGGCTTTTCAAGAATCCCACACAAGACAAGCTGGACTCTAACCCGCTCAAATTTGGTGCCGCTGCTGGGGAACCACGCCGCCAAAGAGATCACAGGCCTACTTTCCACCTTCACAGTGTCCACTCGAGCAAGCTGGGACCGACCGCCGGGCGCAAGAGGTGCCAACAACATGCTTGATGCTCCACCAAACCCTTGCTGACCAAACTCGATGCTCAATTCACCAAAGGATTGTCTGAAGTGGGGTACCCCTGCGCTCCAACTCCGGGAACAATGGGCATAGCCCGACGGTAAGTTCCCTCAAGGTTGCAAGTCGGGAACCAAAACTCCATCGATGGGTTTTTTTGCTTGGCCACAAAAGTACAGCGATGCCAGCCAGAATGGCTAAACATCTTCCCGGCAAGGGAGCCTTTTTTGCACGGCGTTCTTGATTCCAGGTCCAAAACAATGGCTCCCTTCGCTTCGGAAAGGGTCGTGGCGGGTGAGGCCTCCCGTCGACAAATGTCGCCCGAAACTATCCAGGTCCCCCGGGAGGACGGGCACGAAGCTGCCGCGAACTTCCGGCCATGGCCGTCCCTAACTCCGTCAGGATCGGCCTCGCTTCAAATTAAAATCGCGTCTGCGGCATCAGCGATGTCGCAAACCTTGCCCCATTGCGTCCACAACGGGTCTGGTTTGGTCACGTGGTTGCCTATTTGTACAATACCGCACAAGCATCCCAAATTATACAAGGTTAGACCCCAACCAGCCGCGCACCAAGCCGAGGCTGATCTCACCCCCCACCCTTCAAGAAAACCGAGGCTGATCATCCCCCCCGAAGGAAACCATGTTGGGCCAACTGGCCAGCAGTGCCCGGAGTTGGGTTTACATCACTGATTTGTAGAAGATGCTTGAAACCACGGGCAATTGCTGGCGTTGAGATCATGTTGCGTCATCATTGGTGGTTTCATGCACTTTCAGGACCTCTGCTTGTTCGTATCTCGAAAACAAGTGTTTTACCCATTGTTTTTGCGGCTAGGCGGCATTATGATCTCGAAGTCAAAATAACCAAAGATAAAAGATACAGTGTAACGTGGAACATCCATGCCAGCCTGGCTCTGGCAACTCGTGCACACCAAACAAATCATAGCGGGCGAAGCATCCAAATGCCAAAGTGGAGCAATCAGGATCATGGCAATGTAGACAACATGAAAATGAAGGCACCATCAAGATCACGCAGACAGCATCACAATGATGCAGGCAAAGCCATCACGAAGCAAGCCGCGTCATTGCAGACACAGGCAGCACCCAAAAATAAGCTGTCGCAAGGCAATGCCGCGCGGCACCGAAAGAACGCAAACAAACGAAACCAAACAGCGTCAGCTAGCTAAACTGTGAGTCAAATGATAATTGAGTTCGAACTCAGGAGAGTGTTGAGGAAGCACGCGCTGAGCATCTTGCTGGCAAGATCAAAGCAGCAGCAGGATAAAAGCGGCAGCTGGAGCCAGCGCCGAAAGCGCAAAACATCTGGCCGAGAAGGAAAACAAACTGGGCCCAGAGCAGGAGGCGCGCAAGTCTGCTAGGCAGGCGCAACCACGAAATAGCTTGACATCCTTGCTTGCACGAACTTCAAAGAAAAGCAACATGAGGTTGACACAGGGGAATCACGATCGTACCTGCGTCATAATGAGGCGGGCAGCATCATAATGGTAGCGTCATAATGACGCATGCAGCACGATCACAGGCATCTTGGCGATGCAAGTAGATTCTTCGTGATGATGCGGCATGCACTTGCACAAGAAGCGCAACCATGTACATAACTTCTTGATAACGTAGGCAGAAGATTAGCAACGCAGGCTACAGGAAGCTTCATTCTTAGGCAAGCGTAATTAGGACTTACAGTACACATCCTCCCAACCGACCCTTGCACGCCAAGAGCCAAGCTAACAGTCGGGCGGGGGATGCAAACGTAGGAAAAGCCGCAGGCACTAGCATGCCGCAGGCAGCATCATGATGACGTAGGACGCGCTGGTATGACGCCAGAAGCAGCGTCCGAATGCGCAGGTGGCATCAGACTCACGCAAGCAGCATCATGATGATGCAAGCAACACCACAATGATGCAGTATCTTCATGGTGCATATGGCATGCAATTACGCAAAAAAAGGCTCCTACGTATGTACACAGCATCATAATGTTGCAGGTAGCATCACAGTATTACAGAGGAATCAAGCACAGCTGCGAAACAAAAGCATCCCTCAAGTCGGCCAGCCAGCACATCAAGCATGTAGAGCATCTGTCATCCAGCCGGGGTCAAACGAATTCATCCAGTGGACCGGCCAGAGCAATTGCCAGCCGGCAAAGAGGGGAGACAAACAAAGGAGCCAGGCGCGCTGGGAGACGAATGAATTCGCCGCATGGACCGGGCGGGGTCCATCTGGCAGAAGCTGCACCAGTGAACTTCCTAGTTCCTTGACTGGCGGCGTGCGGAGACAGGTGAATTCGTTGAAGCTGGCTGCCCGAGGCGTCTAGCCAAAGCTGGGAAGCAAATGATGCCGGCCATCCGGAGAGGCGTGCCGGGAGAGAAGTGAACTCGTTTTGCAAGCCCATCGGAGAGGCATGCAGAGCATCTAGCAGCAGGCAGTTTGCAAACAGGAACGGTGCTTCAAGATCAGTCAAGAAACCCCGACTGTGAGTTGTTTGGGGAAGAAAAGAGCCAGAATGTGGACGCCCTTGAGTTTGCTCACTGGAATTTAGGCGCTGGCATCAGAAAACCAAACAGACCCACCCCAAAACCGGTAGGCCAGAATCAAAATCCTGAGGCCCTTTGCTCTCCAGTCGAGAACACGGTTGATGCTTGCCCAAAACCCAATTGAAAGTCGACCAAGTCAATAGGAGGCGGTCTTTTGCGCACTGGGACAAGAAGGAACATGCTCTTAGCTGTCCTTCTTGGCTTTGCCTTAGCAGTAGCTGGCATCAGAAACAGGCACCGGGAAAAAGGTTGATACAACATGGAGCGTAAGCAAACTTGTGCCTGTGCTGTCTAATGTCCCAAAAGCACACCTATGAGCGTGCTTGGGCCCATCTGTATTGGCCTCCCAGCAGCTAGCGGGACCGGGAGTAAACTCAATCGATGGGGCGTTTTTCTTCGGAAAAAACGAAACCGCTGCATCGCTCAACATCTCGCCGGGACAGCCTCAGGCTTTCCCCGTTAATCAGTGAGACGTTTCCAGGCAAGGTAGACCTGGAAGATTGCTTTCCATTCGAGACCCAATGCGAGCTGCAATAAGAACCCTAAGGGCGAAATGTGTGCGGCTCCTGTTCTAGAACATGAAGTTGATCTGATTCAGGATCCTGTTGGCAATACTGAAACAAAAACAAGTGCCGGAATCTGAGATTAGGCATTGGCAAAGGGCCCTCAAATGTTCTACTCAAAAGGCTCGGAATGGGGTCAGAATGGGAATGGGGTCAGAATGACTAGGTGGGGACATACACATTTACCACGCGCTGCTGCGCACGCACATTCAAACAATCGTGGATTGCCCTACCTTACAAGCTCACAGCTGCGCTTTCCACCCTTCTCACCTTGGACTTGCTGATCTTGGCCCGGAGGAAGTCCTTCATGGTGTTGAAGACCTGCGTCTGAAAAAACCAATCCCTAGATGGGCGTGGGTCAAAAATAGGTGCCCAAAATTCAGCCCTGGTAAAAGGAAACAAAGACAAAATCCTGCGGTTATCTTGTGGTTTAATTTTGATCCATAGGTGATGGTTGTTTTTCTTTCTATTCCTTTGAGCCTACAGACGCACCCACCTGCACCCGGGTCCGCAGCAGTCCCAAGGTGTCCAGGTGGGAGCCGTCGCGATTGGCCTCGAAGGCGAAGTCGTAGGCCGTTCGACCCCTGGGGATGCTTCACCGCTTCAGTCACTTCGGTGCGCAAACGGAAGGCCTTCCTACATGACGAATTCTCCGCAAAAGGTTTGTGATTGGTATCGGAGTGGGGGAAAAAGTACGTACCCTTTCGGCAATCCTGCCTGGAAGTCTGTTGGTCCAAACTTGCCCCTAAGGCCAGCATTGTCCGGAGCAGGTTGCAGTCACCCTGCTGCGCTGCCACATGGATCGGATAGACCATCTCTGACGGGGACTCGGAGAGCCTGGGCACGTGCAAACCCTCGAAGCTGTGCTTGCTCAGAAATCTTTGGAGCGCTTGATCTTGCTGTTGTCGTCTCTGAGAGCGCTTCGAGGCATTGGCGGAGCTCAGGTTTGACTCGCTGTCCATCACAATCATGCCAGAGGCTGTTGAGCAAGTCGAGGCTGTTGAGGAAGTCGAGGCTTTTGAGAAGGTCGAGGCTGTTGAGCAAGTCTCGCATGGTGACTTCCTGAGGGCAATTGAAGAATCGGCAATCTTACTCAGTCGATTGAACGTGAAGGCACTGGTGCTCCCACGCAAACCCGCGGTTGCCAGATGTGCCCAACTTTTCCTGGGGCATGGTCATGCTGCCTGACAAGACCCCTGGTGATGACTGCCCAAGTTCCCTGGCAAACGGAGGATCACGTCGAAAAACCGTCGTAAAAGACCCCCCCTCAATCAGGCGTGTCTGCCCCGGCCAAAGCACGCATACATTTGCGAGTACACTCTCTTCCAATTGTACCCTGTCCGGAGGTGGCAAGTGGACGGCAAGTAGCTCCAGCAAATGGCCTATAACAAATGGGGTCTAGAATGCTCACTGCATTGTCCTGCAAGCAAGCGGAACCCCTACGGGTCCCTTGACTCATGGGCCATGGCAAATCAATCCCAGGCTCTCCGAGTCCAGCGTCGCCCAGTCCGTCGTCGTTGGCTCGGGAGTGGCGGATTGCATAGCCATCATTAAAGAAATTGAGGCCCCCTTTGAGCTTGCGCCGGAGCCAAAATCTCACATGGCACCACATGTCACAAACCCTGCGGTCTCTGTGCAGCATGGGTTGCCCATTTCAGCCTTGTCCTTTCAATGTGAGCTCGGATTTCAAGGAGCTCAAGCCATGGCCGCTCTGATCAATGAAGTGGCCCAATGGAAAGTCACCCCCTTGATGTTTGAGTGGCAATGGTGGGCCCGCCAAAAATGTGCGACTTAATTTCAAGCAAACAGCAGTCCGATGAAAAGACCCTTCCGATTTAGGAGGTTTCAACCTGTTGATTGTGTGCTTTGGATCAAACAGAACATCAGGGAACACGGGGACGGTCCGGGGGTTGTCCAAGTCTTGTCGCGAGTTTCGCTATGGATGTACTTACCCTCTAAAATGGATCGATCCCTGCGAAACATGAACATGTGTCCAGGCTAGAGACCGAAATTTGGTGCCTGTTGACGGAAGCTCACATGAAAACAATCATTTTCAGGCGACCCTAGTTTTCATGCATGCATTGCCGTATCTCATCCCGGGGCAACTGCAAAGCAGAAACCCGCCGCATACAACCAATTCCAGCTTCTAGTCTTCCCGACAATCGGGAAAATGGAAACCATGAACGGAATTTCAAGGTCAGCAAGTCCATATTTGAAAGGTAAACCCTACACACGAGCCTTGGCGTCTGTCTTCTTCTTCTTGCCTTTCACCTTCTTTGTGGTCTCCTCCTCCTCTTCTTCATCATCCTCATTCTTCTCGTCTTGGTCTTCGTCCTCATCATCTTCCTTGGTGGGCACAGGTGTTTGCCAAACCAGATCCAGAACAAAGTCTACCCTGCCTCTCACAGTATGTGGACATGGGACGCCCGGCCTCAACCCCTTGAGTGCTCTCGTATCAAATGTTAGCCCCAAAAATGACTTGCATTCATGTCTGACTGAAAAAGCGAACACCCGAGGCCAAAGTCTTTTCATTGGGATGACCAACAGTGGAAGCCCGGGCCACATCAAGCTGGCAGTTCAAGCCAAAAGCATGGCCGAATCGGCCCCGCCTCGATGTCGTCCCCCAGAAGCTCCTTCATCCGCTTCAGCTCTTTGTCCGGATCGGCCTCCTGACGCGAAAGCGTTCACTGCTCGCCCGGAGGTTGGGCCTGAGGGAGGGAGGGAGGGAGGGAGGGAGGGAGGGAGGGAGGAAGCAAGGGAGGGAGGGAGGGAGGGGGGAGGGAGTGTATGTTCCAGTCCCCAGGCCGCCAACCCACCCCCAAAGTCCAGCACCGTGTGCCCTGTCCCCACACCCCACCCCTTTCACGCCCTGAACCCTGACACCCCCGCCCCACGAAGCCAGCCCCAAACCAACCCTAAACCAACCCTAAACACACAACCCTATGCTAACCCGAAACCAACCCTAAACCTTAAATCAACCCCAAACCACACCCCAACCACCCCACCCCCCACAACGGGGGGGGGCCTTACCCTTGATTAGGGGAGGGGGGGGAGTCCACGGCCTGGAACATATATGTCATTGCAGCTTAAGGCAGAAAAGCAATTCACCCAGGTGTTCACCTGTATTTCTTGCTGAGACCGCGTCCTCCCTCAAGCATGGCGATCGCAGTTTCCAGCACTGGTTCTGGGTTTGTGCGCGTCCTACGCAGTCAGTCTATCTGTTTGACAGGCCACTTGGTCATATTGTCATTCATGTGAATGACGTTCAGCAAGTGTTGTTTTTCACCCGACATGGGAACCTTTCTTGTGAATGGTTCAAAGGGAAAATCAGGTGCCATCAAAACTTGGTTCCTTCGGGCATGGGAGGAACTTTCGGCACACGTTGGTTCGACGTAAGACAACTCTCGGGTCCTCGTCATCCTCCTCCTTCTCATCCTGAGCAAAGCAACTTGAACCTGCTGGTTCTCCATGCGGGCCCTCTGCCAACAAGTGGCTTCCAAGCTACCCCCCCCCCCCCACCCACCCCACCCCCACCCCACATCGCATAGGCTTTTGGGCTGTCACGACAAGCTCAGCGAAACTTCAGCAAGCGGCACAGCCTGCGCCAAGTAAGCCGCATCATCATTAGGATGGCCAGACCAGCCACATGCGGACAGAATCACCAGTCAAGCCCCACAATTACAGAAGGGGGGGCAGTCCATGTTTGAGGCCTGCACGCGCGCTGTCCACTCACCAGCAGTCAAAACAGCCCCAACATCTGGCATGGTTTCAAAGCACACAATCAAACCACGAATGTTCGCATTTGTGCATGTCTTTTTGTTGAGGCTCAGCAACCCGTTTAGAGTTTGTTCAAAGGGAAGCCAAAGTGAAACAAACGCCCAATTTGACCCTTCCCTAAGCAAAGATCTGGGTATTTTGTTCTCTTCACCTTTTGATATTCAGAAATCACAAGTAAAGGACATTCATGGGTTTTCGTCTGTCTTACCCCCGAATCGGTAAGCTCGCTCATGGGAGCCCCGAAAACCAGCTAAATGTCCCGTGTCCAGTAAAGCAACATCTGCCTCCACCGGCTTCTTCGGCAGCCTCTTCTCCTTCCTCGGCCTAAGAGCTTTCTGGGCGTGGCCCTTTGGGGAAGATGAATCGAACAACTAGACCCCGATTTTCCGGAAAGCTTATTGTAACAACATGGTTGTCCATGCAAGCTGCTGTGCAAAGCAGAGCTGTGAAGAGCAGAACTGTGCATAGAGCTCGGTAAGCTGGTCTGCGTAGGCTAAGCTGCATAAGTAAGGCTGTGGGGGCTGCTCACTCACGCTTTCGGGGGGGGGGGAAAAAAGAAGAAAAACATAACGACGAAGCGCGGGGCGCAAGGCGAGTTTGCAAATGGACAAAACCGGGTCCCCAGTTGGGATGGATGAAACCCGCTCTTTTAAATAGATAAAGCCTCGCCCACCAGCGCCTGGCTGGCTGACCCCAAGGAACGTCGTGGTCATCCTTTGCAAAAAGATGCGCCACGTGCGTCGGGCGTGACCACCCCCCCTTTTAGTGGTCTCGATTGAAGGAGTAAAAAGGAAAGCCCAAGACCAAAACAAGGTCAAAAGTGAATGCAAACTCTAGTCCAAGCGAAGTGTCCTTTTCCAGGGACAACTGGACTTCCCATTCGAGTTCCAGTTTACTTCGTGGGATCCGGTGAAAATCCAATTCGCGCAGGTCCCAATGTATCCAAACTAGGAATTTGGACCCTCCATAAAATGGCGATGTCTCTCTAAACTAACGTGACAAGGCTCCCTTCAACAAAACAGCAAACCCACATGCAGTGGCAGGTCCCGCTTTTTCTTCGGGGCGTTCCAACACTTCCCCACCAAACATCAGAAAGCCGTGTCCCCGCTTTCACGGGCGCCCGCGCTTGGGCACTTCCTCGCCTAACGGTCCGCTCAGACCCCGCTCCGAAATCCCTGTCCCGGACCAAAAGTGGAACCGAGTCACGGGGATCTTGAAAAAGGTTACGCTCCCTCCAACGGAAGCTGACAGCAGGCTAGTGGACGACTACGTTCCTTTCGGGGAACCCCGAACCACCGTGTCTACTTACTTCCATGATTGTTGGAGAAAGGCTAGAAAGTTCTTGCCGAAGGAAGCCAAACCAAGTTTCCACCCAGGTTTGGTCCTCCCCAACTTCGCACCACAAGAACCTGCATGGGGGCGAGGTTTCGTTGAATAGGACAAAACCCCACCCCCGTCCATTCGCTAGCTAGGGGTGGAGTGGGGATAACGGTATGCAAACACTGCCATGAATCCCTTATGTGTGCTTTCCCCTCAGTTGCATGTTGCACCAAATATTGGTTTAGGGTCGTCCCCAAGCTCACAACCGCTCCTTGATGACCAGCCGGACATCCAGCACCCGAAGAACAAAAAGAAGAAAGAAAAAAGAACACATGAAGAAGTCTGCTGATCCAGAGATCCTGTTGAGGTTGCTACAATTTGACCAGATGAAAACCAGAACGCGGCCAAGTTGAAGTGATGAGAGCCTCTGTACGTTACTCCTTGGCCTCGTTTTCGCTTTTGTCCAGTCAGCACCCATCAGCTCAGTGCGAGAACACAGCGCTCGCCCTTCTTCCAAAGGATCCGCACGCAGGTTTGCGCACTTGAACAGGGAATGTGACAGAATGTGAGATCTGCCTCGCCAGAAGCACGTCCATTCTACGGTCGATCGAGTGATGTTTGCCTACTTGCAAAGCGGCTTAGGATATCAACCAAACCTCGAGCCGCTTTGGAAAAGGAGGCTTGATTTTGAGGGCACCACAGGGCTCCTTGAGTGACCCTTCAAACATGATCCCAAAGACGAAACTAAATGAGCAGTGGCTCCCCTTCAAACAAAGATGGGACCCCGCACCCAAGAAGGAGACTCAACTTGTTGTTTTGGTTGGGTTTCCCTGACTCTTCATTGCGGGCTAAAAGACACGGGTCCCGGCCGCCCAACACAAGCTGGACATCGACCTTTGAGGCACCGACGTTGCAGCGAGTTGTACCTCTAGGGAAAACTCAAGGGTCAGAAGCGGGCTTCCCATCCCAAGGCAAAATTTCGCACAGCTGAAACAGGGACTCGCCGAGTAAGCAGATGTCTAGAACAGCCATAGGTCCCAGCTCTTCTAAAAGGACAATTCTGGGCAAATTCCAAGAAATCACACCTGTTCCGACGCTGCCAGCCATGCTCAGCGTTGGGAAGAGAATGCATGAAGTCTGAAAGATGCCTGCCAAAAACATGCAAGGCCAAACCGAAATAAGGACTCCCCAAGAAAGGAGCCTTGGGTGTCGTTTTGCCCCCAGCTCGTTCTAATTTGCCAGCAAATGACGGTAAAATCCTGGATCTGAGTAGGCACAAAGCGTTTAAACAGCCGGCTTAAAAACACACAAAGACAATGGTGAGGGCGGTTGCACTAGGTCAATGCTACTATTTTTCCCGCCTGTCCTTTGCGTGCTGGACGATTACAATTAGACCGGCAATCAAACCAGGCGCAAACAATGACAAGCCACAGCCGGTGCTTCAAAAACAACGACTGGAGCTGGGACAGTAAGCTTGGTGCACGGAATCAAGTGAAGAGGCCGTGGCTCATCGGGGTCCTTCAGCCAATGGGATGGACAAATGCAAATGCAAGAACCCTGATTCCTGGCCCAAATTCTAGTCAGAAAACCAACATGGAACCTGTACCCCACAAAAAGACTACTCTATCTCTATCACCCGGAACTCAACCCAGCAAACCCTCCAGCCAGCCCCGCAACCTCCCTCTACCCTCCGAAAGCCCTTGAAACCCATGACGACTCCATCTGCAAGCGCTACATCTTCCAACCCTGAAACAAGAATAGGCTCCTCAAGCAAAGACCCCCTAAGTTCCAAAACCAACAAGAACTACCTCAAGTAAAAACTGAAACAAGAACTACCTCAAGTCAAGTAGAAGGGGCCAAGCGGAGGAGACTCGGTGAGCCATGAGGGTTCCCTCTGAGGTCCCGGGCACCGAGGCATCCACGGCCCAGTCCACCGCCACGGTTCGCCCGCAGATCCTGGTGATTCATTGGACCGGGCTCGATGTGGGGCTCGGCCAACAACGAAACATAGGAGGATCACCAAAACAAGTGCACGACCACAGTCCTCCCCCCCAAAAAGAAAAACGATTGCTGAAGAAATAAGCAGATGAATGACTACAAATGAGCAGGGGGGCGTTCCTCTGTTTTGGAGAAAAACCTATATAAGGCCCGGACAACAGAAGTTAGTCGTCTCTGACTTGAAAACCTCAACAGAAAGCAACCATAACCATTGGGCTCAGACTTGCCAACTGGCAAGGACTCCAAGAAAAGCATCTCGCCTTAGGATACGTGTCTACAAGCTCGTACAAGGATTGCCAAAAAGTGACAGAACTAAACTGAATCTCCGCCGTCTGCGCTTAGTACGCAGCTTCACTTTCTGAGCCGCAGAGACTTCTGCGCGCCACTACGAGCGAGACCTTAAAATATCATAAGTCGGACATGCACAGACTTGCGCAGCGATCAGTAAGAGATGACAAACACTTGCTTGTTGTTTTGCGGTCTTAGAAGGGAAACAAGAACGCGGTCTTGCTGCACCCCTAGAGGCGGCTACTCCGTTCAAGTTTGGACTTTTTGACGTAGTCCTTCTCCCCCCCCCCGGCCGCGCCACTGACAATTATTTTTTCGAGTATATGTTGCAGCCAAGAGCCAAAAAAACACATACCCCAAAAGAAGGCGGCAGCAAAATTGACGCCCGGCGTCCATCATAGACCCCTCTCAGCCCTCCCCCCCCCCCCCCAGGGTCTTGGCGCCGTTCAGCTCCGCCACCGCCTTCTCCGCCTCCCCGCTTTCTGCAAACTGCACGAAGGCGAAGCCCCGGTGCAGCGATGGGTCCGCGTCCTGGCCGACGGGGGGTCGGCACCTGGTCAGGACCTGCAAGGGGTTGATGACCATCCTTACCAACCCCAGGGACCAGCTCTTTTGACCACATGGAGATATCCAAATGGTTCTCCTCTTTCCAACCATCTTGGAAGTAGAGAGGAGGATTGTGCAAGACTGTCCTCTTTGAACAGGTCGGAGTCCATTGTCCATTTCCATGATTGTTGGTGTTGGAAGCAAGGTGCTCTGTTCATCTCTCCCAAACTTGTCGCCGCCACGAATCGAGGCAGACGCAGCTCACGCTCGAACGCTTCGAGTTTTGTCGCATGGCCAATCTTAGACATGCTGCGCTCACGTGGGGGCCGGCCCTCCTCTTTCACAATTGCGGTCACCGCACCCAAATGGAAGGGAAACGACAACCCCGAAGTGTTGGTGTCAATGAAGGTTGTCCAACTCCTGCGATGCTGGGACTCATTGCCCTTCCCGTGCTTCTTTCAACTTAACCTTTCAGCTATGTGGTAACAATCGCCGCGGGGCCTCTACAACCCAGGCACCAGCCAGCCGCCTACATGAAAACCTGAGTCCCCAGAAGTTCAGCCAATAACCCCTGAGAATTGAAGCGCGAAGCGCTTTCTGCCTTGAGCCTAGCGTCCCCCAATACTAACAAGTCGTCTTTTGGCCCCCGCTTGGCAGCCGGACAGCTCACGGGCGCTGTGTCGCGCCCCTGGCCGTTTTTTGCCGCTCGCGCACTCCGAGGGCACGGCCTCTCCCTCTCAGTTTCCGATGGCCCCGCCGCCGGTGGACTGCATGATCAACTCCGTCATGGCGGACACCGAGGGGTAGTCGAAGACCAAAGTCACCGGCAGCTGCACCCCGGGCAAGGCTTGGGACAGCTCCTGAGCCGAAGGCGCTCGGCGTTCGGCGGCGTGTCTTGCGTGAGGGAACGTGGGGCTGAACTTCAAGTGATCATTTGGGGACGCCTCACATCACATCCGGCATCCAGCACTCGCTCATGCACCCACTACCATCTTATCCATTGACATTTGGTTAGAATGGTTTACGTAGGCTGTACTGCAACCCTAGTGTTGGCACTGCTCCACAGCTCGTCGAGAAGAGCCAAGGCACGTCGCGCATGATGATGGCCTCGGAGCGGGGCTTGTCTCGGCCGCCATTTTTTCGTGCGGCTGCGTTTCTCTTGGACATTTGCCACTGGACTGTTGGGGGGGCTTGTCCAAAAAAATGGGGACTTTGAAAGGGAAACCAAAAGGAAACATGTCATGTTGTGCGAGAAAAACCTTGAGGTTGCCCTCTTGCGGCCCCTGGCTTCATCATGATCAATTCTGACGCACCGCGCAGGTCCCCCACTTACTTACCCGAGCCGGCAGGGAACACGTCGTAGACACGGAGAGGCGACGACCTCTGGGGCAGGCCCTGGGTGAGAGATAGTGTCAACATCAAAACACACCCCATTCAGAGACAAACCCGGGTTGTTGTCGAGTCCATGCCCCAATTGTTTTTGACTAACTGTAGACTATCGTTGCCCATGATATGTTGAACAAAATTCAAATGGGTGTGAATCTGGAGCGCCCCCTTTTCACCTTGGCCTAGGAATCCTAAAGGAACTCCAAATCCCCCCATCTGAGACACCTAACCCTCCATTCGCTGAAGCCCTCCGGAAAAAAATATATGAATATGTCCAGCACTGCTAAGTCCTTTAAAACCAACAGGGGAGAATAAACAATAAAATATGAAGCAATTGGAAGTGATCCTTTGAGGCAGCGGCGGAGTTGCTGGTGAGCCCCGCTTCCATGAGCGGCGTGTCCACCTCCACCTCCTCCTCGTCCGCGCCGGTGATCCGCAGCGCGATCTCCCGCACCTCGCAGAGCCCAAAACGACCCGCCATTTTGGGGTTACCCTAGTTTTGGCCATCTATTTGGGGACATTGGGGACTACCCTCCCTCCAACCAACATGGCACCTGTTGGAGAGCACCTGGAAGATCAAACTCCTCTTGTAAAAATTCCCCTTTCAGGTGCCATGTTAGTTGGAGAGATGGTCGGCTTCCTCTTGGTCCCCCTCCATCCAAAAAAGAGTACCCTCAAACAAAGACACACCCACATACACAAGGCCTGATCTGTGCAATGGGCCCGTTGAGTGGCTAACAAACGGCATATATGATGCCACGCACATGATCGCCCCTGCAACAGTCCTCTGAACCTGTCGAACCCCCAATGGGTAAATTCACTTTGGTGTCCCTGAATTCCTTAAGGGCGACTTTGACTGAATATCTGGGCCTTCATAGCTTTCCGTGCCCAAATTTTGCGGAGTCCTTCAGGCCCTTAGTCCCCTGCAGTCGTTTGTAGTGGAATCTCCTTTTGGGCCTTTGCGGGACTCCGAGAGTTCCTGCCATGTGCTGACACAAACATGACCCCGCCAAAAAGAAACTCCTCAACATGCGCCCAAAAGGAGATGTTTGCACCACCAAAAACAATATGATGACCCATATTTTCTGGCGGGTGCCTATAAATCGCACATGGCGCAAGCAAATTCGCCCCTATCGGAACTCAAAATGGATGGTTTCATGTTGGTCTCCCTTTGCAACCGCCCAAGAAAACAAAGGGACCCTCCCCAAAATGGCGGAATGTCCAATGGTTGGTTTCTCTTTGGCTTCTGTTTGGTTTCAGCTTGTTCTTTTGAAGCCCCTAACAGGGTTGTCTCGCCTCAGCGTGCCCTCGCCCAAACCAAAATTATGTATCAGGCGATTCCCCAGTTAACCTCAAAATGAAAACTCCCTTCAAGAAAAGATCCAGAAAACACGTGGCAGGATCCTTCTTTTCCCTCGAGAAAAGCTGGCCCCCTCCACCCCTCACCGCCCTTTCAAGCCCTTGGAAACCAAAGCGTGTCCATAGGCCAGATCCCACGCGCTGAGGCCGACCCCGCGTCCGCGTTTTGCGGCGCCTTGCTGGTGACCACCTCCAAGCTGAGCCCCGACTTCACGTCCAGCGCCGGGCCCGCGGGCCCCCGCGGCGCCGCCGGGCCCTTCGCCACCGCCTCTCAGGCGCCCAACGACACGGGCCAGGCGTCCGCACTGGGGTCCCCCGTTTTGCATGGGTTTTACCTCCATTTGCTTAAGCTCCCCCCGGAAACAAACATCAATACATCCAGTTGTGATGAAGTCTCTTGAAGACCATCAAGGGAATTGGAAAAAAACTGAGGAAATGGAAGTTTAGGGGCAGGGGTCCCCCGACTTTGAGACATACCCATATAGAAGAACCCTCCAAGATTCCTGTTGAGCATACCCAACCCTCCCACAAGGTTTTCTTTTTATGAGGGGTCCGGAACAAACGGCTTCCTCAGAAATGAGTGATTAACAGCAAAAAGCGAAGCAGCTCGCTGATAGGCAATTAAGCAACTGTAAACAAAGATTCAAAAAGCAAACAAGCAGGCAAAAGCAGGCAAGTAAGTACGCAGGCAAGAAGGCGAGCAAGCAAGCAAGCAAGCAAGCAAGCAAGCAAGCAAGCAAGCAAGCAAGCAAGCAAGCAAGCAAGCAAGCAAGCAAGCAAGCAAGCAAGCAAGCAAGCAAGCAAGCAAGCAAGCAAGCAAGCAAGCAAGCAAGCAAGCACCCACCCAACCAACCAACCAACCAACCAACCAACCAACCAACCAACCAACCAACCAACCAACCAACGATCTGCCTGCGTGCCTGCCTGCCTGCCTGCCTGCCTGCCTGCCTGCCTGCCTGCCTGGCTGGCTGGCTGGCTGGCTGGCTGGCTGGCTGGCTGGCTGGCTGGCTGGCTGGCTGGCTAAGAAGCTGAGTACTGAGCTAGTTGACTAATTAGCAAGCTCGCTGGCTGACAAGCTCGCTGGCTAACTAGGTACTCAGGCAAATCTGACTTACTCACCAAGCAAGCCGGCCAACCAACAAACTAACAAACCAACCCAATCAACCAGTCATAGAACCAGCCCGTCAAACAAGCATCAAGACTAAGGAGCCCATCAAAAACAACCGACCATCCGACCGACCGATCGAGCGACTAAGTACTAAGTAGTACTGATTAACCAGCCAAGTCTCCACACTCCGCATCCATGACTACCGCACTTCTGTCAGCCCCTCGTTATGAGCGCCTCCGGCGGCCCGCCGTCCTGCTGCTGCTGCTGCCACACTGGCACTTGCCCCGGGGCCGCCGGAGCGGCGCCCGGCGGCGGCGGCACAAACTGAGGGGCCTGCTGCTGCATGAACTCCTGCGCCCCAGCACAAGGAATTTGTACAGGTGGATCGCGTTTGTACGGGTTGATCGCGTTCGCAAAAGCCAACGGACACAAACTGAAGGCGCCTTGATTGAAGAAGCTTGTCAACGAAAGGATGATCCCCCATCCAATTCCAGCATCGTTCATTCTGAGATCTAAGTTCTCGAAAGAAGGATCTTTAGAAGTCTTGGGGGAAGTAGAACTAGTGGTGTCTTGTTTGGATAGCACCCCTTGCTTTGCAAAGACCGAAACTGGCAAACCACCTGTGGAAGAATGTTGGGCCACCGACCTTCAGTTGATCCCATCCCCGCGAGCAATGCTTCCTTTGCGCTTTCTGAGCAGGTCCGCGCCTATCCTTTTGGAAACATAGATGGACTCACTGGCAGATTGGAAAGCTGAAGCCGCTGAAATCCATCCATCTTCAATCAGACCAAGAAGCACAAGGCAAACTACCACGGGACCGATCGAGCTCGTTTCGCCTCTAATTTGCCAGATTGCTCCCACGCCTGGACTGTTAGCGGATCTGTCAGAAATCCAAGAGCCGCAGGAAACTCAGCATGGAACCCAACAAATACTGCGATCGCCTTTTGCAGGTCACACGGAAAAGCCGCATTTCTTTCCAAAACTAGGTCCTCCAGTAGAGAGGTTAGAATAAGGGTACTCTTTTTTCTGCAGTCTCTTTTAGCAGGGGAACCCTCCCCCAAAAAAGAAACGGTAAAAGGGAACTACTGGAGGAATTAGAAAAGGTCACGGCACGTCGTCCAAAGCCGCGCTCCTGGAAGGTAGCGATCACCTCCAGCGCCAAGTTCTCCCCCGCAGTGTCCCCCACGTGCCGGTACAGCGCCAGGGCCTCGTCCGCCGCCTCCGCCGCCTCGGAAAACTGCTCGCAGTTCCGGGCGGGTGGGGAAACCATACATGGCAAACCGGGCAAAGCCTTGGGGGTCCAACCCGGTTTTGCCAAGAAGCATTAGGCAAGGAACCCTACGGATCGGGCTCCACTCCACCCTGGCCTTTGCCCACTTTCGCTGGCGGCCCAACCAGGAGAAAGTCCCGGGCTGCCAAGGGGCTCTCGTTCAGTTCGATTTAGGCGCCCAATGCAATGATGCTTAGGGCAAACCCGCCAGAATTTCAAGCCCTTCAAAACGACACCTCCGAATCCCCGACAGCCCGCACACGCCAGCGATGCCTCCTTGACCTTCTGCAGTGCACGTAAGTTGTCGCAGGCCAACATCAAGGCATTGGCCTCCAGCTGATAACCTCGGCTCCCGAGGCAAAAAAGTCCACGTGGCCAGTGGACCGCAGGTGAGGTCTGTCGAAAGAACCGCGTCAAAAATATAACCAAAAGCACGCACCAGGTGTGAGTTCGCACTGTACCCCCTTGTTGTTAGGGTGGAAGGTTGGCGTCGGAGGCCTCTGCGGCCTGAAACGTGAGCCCTCTCGACCAGGTGAAAAGGGGGCACAATGTGGGGCCAAATGAGCACCCCAAGAGTTCCTGAGTTTGCCCAAGTTTTAGGGGAGCGTTGCCACCTGCGAAGAGCACAAGGTCTGAATCCCAAAAGGCCAGGCCACAGCATACGTACCACCTTCCACGCTTTCACCTGTCAACCCCCTTGGGCCCTTTCCACATGATGCCGTGACTCAGACAAATGCATAGCAGAACGTGTGACACAGTCGAAATCAAGCTCCCTTGGGGGGATTGAGGGCCGTACCATGCGTGTTGACCGTGACACGCATGGGATATGTAATTTGTGTAAGTGCACCGACCCAATTTGCAAGACAAATTTCCTTTTGGAAGGGGCTCCTGTGCCCTTCCTTGTTCCTTGGAGGGTACCCGAGTACCCATTTTTCGGGTGATGCTTTTGCAAAAGACGGCGAGCCGAGCGGCACATGAGGTCCCGGTAGATGAGCACAGCCTCGTCCGCGCAGGCCAATGCCTCCTCAAAGCGCGCCTGGGCGTCTGTCTGGTCGGTGGCAACAATGAGCCGGGTGGGGCAAATGCTGGTTTAACAACCAACCCTGGCTCCCGAAACCAACGCGCTGTTTGATCAGTGGCAGTCTCTGTTGTCTGTTTCCATCTTTGGGTTCATTGATAGCAACTGACTCAGCGCTTCCATCTACAATTCTATCTATCTATCTATCTATCTATCTATCTATCTATCTATCTATCTATCTATCTATCTATCTATCTATCTATCCATCTATATGCGTGTCTTTTCAAATGTCTCTTTCTAACTTATCTATCTATCGACCTATCTGTCTACCTTTCTCTCTATCTATCCATCACTCTGTCCGTCTATCTATCTATCTGTCTATCTGTCTGCGCCTGCCTGTTTGTCTGTCTAGCTATCTATCTGTCTATCTGTCTGTCTGTCTGTCTGTCTGTCGTCTGTCCGTCCGTCTACCTATCTATCTGTCTATGTGTCTAATGGTTCTACCTATCTGTCTCTCTTTCTGTCGACCTATCTATCTACCTCTCTATTTCTCTATCTATCGATCTATCTAGCGTCTACCTATCTGTCAATCCATCTGAACACAGGACAAAACCAGAGGGAACCATGCATGGCAACACCTACAAGTAGAGCAAGCCTTTAGTGGCTATGGCTGGAAGCACTAGGAGACATAGGACACAAACATGCAACCCGCGTGACAGGATCCCTGGTTTTGATACATACCTGTTGGGACATACCAATCTCCGGTCTGTAGCCCAAACTCGGTCTCGACCCGCAAACTGCAAAATACCGATGGGTTCTGCATCCCAAGAAATCCTGCGCTGCCTGTCAGCTTGCATTCCCAAAAGGCCAGTCTGGAAGCACTGCTACACGGCAAAGATTCGCACCGCAAATCCCGAAACCCAATCGAAAGCAGAAACGGGACACTTACGCCTTAGGCAAGTCCTTTTTTGTTCCGATTTGGTTTCCCACAAAAGCAACCCGAGAAAGTGTACCCTTCAAAAAGGACACCCTGAATCATCTCTTCACCCTCCACCCGGTTTGTTACTGGCGATGCTCATTTATGTCCTTTCAATACATGCAAAGTGCTTTAAACTGGAATAAACCCCAAAAACGTGACAACATGTCTAGCCAACTGTTCCAAACCCATCTCCCCGACCCCCATCTATCCCCCCCATCCGTCCGTTTTCGGAGCCCCGTTTTCGCCGAGCCGAGCCCCGCCTTGAGCGTGAGGCCCTGCGCCCGCGCGCAGAGCAGCGAGCCCATGAGCTCCGGGGCCGTGGCCAGGCCCTCCTTCTTCGCCAGCTTGATGCCCGACTGGCGAGCGCTTTGGGCAGGCTGGTCGTGAGTGCTTTGGGCACGAGAAATGGACTGACCCACCCAAAAACAACATCCAACTGGTGGTTTCCTTCAAGGAAATCCGCAGGTTCCTTTCCACGTTCCCCGCTGAGCACCAGCAAGTTTGGTTACGAGCGCTGTGGGCTGGTCGCGAGTGCTTTCGGAGTTGCCCCTGTTGGTCGGCTTACGGGGAGATTGAAAAGGGACAACTGAGGCCGGGGTATCGCTTTGAATGCTTGATGTCGAGGGAGATCAAGGGAGAACTAGTTTGGGCAGGGTTCAGCCATCCCAACTGGTGCAAAGCTGGATTTTGTCCATCCGCATTTACGATTGCTACCCTCCGTTGGCCTAAACATATCCGGCTTCCGCCTGGGGACCCCCAGAAACAAGGGCGGAGTCCTTCTGGTTTCCCTTTCACGGAGTTGAGCCACAGTCAGAACAGCCCTGAAAAAGGTCGTCCTTTTGTTTCCCGTCCAAGACGTCTCCTTTTTATCAACCCTCCAAAGGCATCGAAACGTCCGACGGTCCCCAAAAAGCCAAAGCCAAAGTGGCGGTCGTATATTGCTAAAATTGGGGTCGCTCCAACCACAGATCCGATGGGTGCAAAGATAGAAATTGGTGACTTGCCCGACGCTGCCGTTCGAAGCAGAGCAAACATATCGGAAGGATCAATTCAAGAAGGCCGCTTCGGCGCAGTGATGTCAAGCCTGTCTCATACGCTCCCCGTGAATCCCAATCAACTCATTTCAAGATTGCGGTTCGGTCATAAGGCTCAACCAATCAACGCATTTGCGCACAAACTCCCTGCACGTCCCCCAATCGCCTCCGCCAGCTTGATGCCCTTCTCCAGCGCGTCCCGCGCCTGCCGCGGCATCGGCTCCTGCGGCAAGGCGGGGGCGCAAGGGTCTAAAGCCCGTTGCTGGCTGGTTGGGACACCATCGCGCTGGCTGGTTCTTGGAAAACCTTTCATTTTCTACTGGTCTCCTTCCTGACCATGGGTATCCTTTCGGCTCGGTTTGGCGCATACATAAATTCCAGGGCCTTCGCTTTGGTTTCCTGCAGAATCCACGGTTGGGATCGGATCCCTTTTTGGAAGCTGGAAGGAAGCCAACCAAATGGAGGGGTTCCTCTAATTTTCAGAAACATCCATCCCTGGTGGGGTCCATCTGTACAAACCTGTCAGGGCACTCCCTTGAGAGGCTTGCGTACTGACGCGCGCAGCAGTAACCCGGGTCAAGCACGGTGAGACGTGACGAGAAGCTTGCGGACACGGCAGGGTGAAACATAGAAGATCGTGCACGCCCGAAGCCCGAACCCCGAAAAGATCCCGGATTGGAGAGATTGGGTTCGAGCGCGCTCCCGAGTTCCGAATGAATCTGTTTTGCGGGTCCAGGCGCCCAAGGGAGAACAAGAAGTACTTGCCTCGAAACCAGTGGGAAATGCCCGGCTTTCCATGGGCCACTTGGACCAGCTGACCTGCCTTCCCCACTCTTGGCTCTCTCATTCGGTCCTCGCTGAAGATCCGCGCACCCTCCTTCACAGCCAAGCGCACCGCGTTCTCAGAGACCATGTACCTGCAAGGGAGTAGTCTTTCTTTCTGGCGCATTTGGCTTCCCCGTTGGGTTCACCATTCTGGTTGCCACGGGCTGAAAGAGGTCTTGCATTTGGGTTTCAGCCACAGGGAAAGCTGCAAACCCAGACTGAAGCGTTGGTAGACGTTCTAATCTTGCTACCTGACAGTGGAGACCCCCTTCCTGGGAGGTCCCATGCTCAGCGAATCCCACTTGCCACTTGTTGTCCCCGTTCTTCACACCAGGAAGCTCGATCTTCAACCATCCCCCTTCACGCGTATTGCATATTCCCCCACTGAACGGCCCCTCGGGCACATGCACGCGATCTCCCCCTCGTGCTTGCCCAGCTCGCGGTACTGGACTCGGCCCTTCTCGGCGAAGCGGATGGCCGACTTGAACTCGTTCCTCAAGTTCGGGGGACGAATAAGCGCATCCAAAGTGTTTGTTTCCTCAATTGCGTGGGCGACCTGGTTTGTGTAAAATTTGGTGGGCCAAACAACAGACTACCAGAAATCATGTATAAAAAGCTGGTTTCGCCTCAAATGTTGGAACTGCCCTCGCCCACCCAAAAAGAGTGTGTTCCATTTGGTTTCCGTTTTGAGATTTCAAACAAAGTGTTCCCTGAGTGAATGTCTTTTGAAATCCTTGCAATCCATGCAATTAAGCTGCATCCCAACAACGGGCGCCAACTTGTGATTTGATCACCTGACATATCAGTGACAGTGGATTTGGGTGAGGCATCCCCCCCCGGCCCAATTTTGTACAGTTAGTGAGTGCACGCAACCGGCGTCATCCCCTATGCTACAGCAAATGACAGGTGGCATCGACCATTGCTTCTTGAACGGCCAACAAAATTTCAAAGTGTCAGAGCGTTTCCTACTATTCCCCTTCAACATCGCCCTGTCAAAAGAAAGCTCACTTACTGGCTCAGGTGTTTGATTTTTAAGACACCAACAGAAGAAATGTGGGGCAGCCTGGGTTTCGAGGTTTGAACCATTTCGCGCGTCTCAATTCCAGGAGACTTCCCCAAAGACTTCCTCTCTCCCGAAACGTCACGTGCTGGGCGTCTTCTTCCAGTGGATCTCCGCCTGCATCTTCAGCGCATCCGCCTCCCCCGAGATGTCCGACTCCTCGCTGAAGAGCGCCTGCGGGGCCAAATCAAACACCACGGCGGTTTGGCCCCGCTGAAATCTGTGAACAATGCGTCGAACCCTTTGTTGGTGCATGATGTTCAGGTTCAAAGGACGGCAACATAACGCCTTACCCTTCTGAGTCACTTGTTGAGAAATGCTCATCTGGCCACGCTAAGCCAAGCGGCCAGAAAGGTGACCTCTCCCTCTCTCTCTCTCTCTCTCTCTCTCTCTCTCTCTCTCTCTCTCTTCGCCCCTATCCAACAGCTGTCCTTTTTCAATGTCTATCGTTTGTTGGTTTCCATCCCACACGGACACTTCACATGTGATGCAATTCTGACGTATGTGGGTGTTTCCAAACGGGCCTCTCCTGCACCGAACATGTGGGGGATGGCACTTGTGGGAAGCTTTCGAGGAGTGCAAACAGGGATCTCCGAGAGTGACTCCCCACAGAAGCGCATGACTGCTTGCTCGAGTGTCAAAAGTAAAGTTGCGGCTTGGAACTGCGCAAAGCAGTTACCCCTCTCGAATCATATCCTTCTCACCCCTCTCCAGGGGTTACGTTCCCTATGCTCCCACCCTGCCCCTCTCTCCCAGCCCGCCCTTCCGCCTGGGCTTTGGAATTGTGCGATGCTGCCTCCTCAAGAAGACTTGAGCATCGTGCAACATCTCGCTTGGCCCGATACAATGTCTTCGCAAGCGAATTTTCTCAGAGTGGTGCCAAAATGCTTCACCAGATTCATCAGGCATGTTGGACGCATCATCATCATCATCATCATCATCACCACCATCATCATCATCACCACCACCACCAGCACCACCACCACCACCACCACCACCACCACCACCACCACCACCATCATCATCATCATCATCATCATCATCATCACCACCATCATCATCATCACCACCACCACCAGCACCACCACCACCACCACCACCACCACCACCACCATCATCATCATCATCATCATCATCATCATCATCATCATCATCATCATCATCATCATCATCATCATCCGCGCTTGCTGCTGGTTCTGCTGGTGATGGTGGTGATGGCACCCCACTCTCAGGGCTCCTCCACGTCCCCGCGCTTGAACTCCAAGGTGGCGGTGATCAGCAGCGCGTGGCCCAAGGCGCGGGGGTCCCGGGGCTCCTCCTCGAACTTCTCCTGCGCCCCGCTCGAGCGCCCAGATTTGTCCATGGCCATAGCACCGATTTGCCACGTTCGTTGCCACGTTAGCCAAAAGGTTCTTGAAACATGGAAACAATCAAAACAAAGCAACAGTGAACACTTTTGTCGGCTGGCGCCTTTTAGGCATCGAAAACGGAAACGCGCGCCGTTCATCGCGAAACCCATTCCTGGTGTTTGGAGCCCGTAGCTGTCCAAGGAACAGGGGATTTGACAGGGGGGAAGCGTTTGGCCCATATTTAGCGCACCTCAAAATGCAAGGGAGTTTCAACAGACATCATCCAGTTAAAAAGAAGTGGAATAAGGGAAAAAAGGGGGAACCCTCCTCCCAGCCCCGGGCAAAACCGGGTCTATGGCCACGGTCCTTGAACTCCAGCGCCAAGTCCATTGCCTCGGAAGTGGACGAGTAGATACCAACCAGTGAACTTGTTGCTGGTGAAATGTTGGCGTTGGGATGAGACAGCTCCCTGAAAAAACACCAAAAGCGGAAAGGGCAAAAGGGCAGAAGGGTTTGTAGCCTTGAAAGAAACGGGGGCAAGTGGACATGTCCCTTGCATGGGGAAGCCAAAGGGATCCTTCACTTTCGCGAGCCTTCACTTCGAGTTGAAGCCCCGCAACCCCCAATAAGTTCAGACTCGGGCCAGCCTTTTTGGGGGTTTGGACAGGAAACGCAAAGGGAAAACGAACCCCCCACTTTGGTGTCCTCCCAGCTTGAGCCAGAAGCCCGTGCCAAAGAAAAGCTCCGACTTGATTTGATAGCCCATGGGCAAACCCGCAGCTGAAGAATATGTCTTTCGCAGGGCGACTCCTCTAGACCATCCGGAAACACGTGGCTTCGCTTTTCAGCAGAAGTCTTGCCATCTGACTGAACCTAAAAAACCCGCCTCGTCCTTGTGGCCCATGTGATAGTTCGCCTCGATCAGCACGTGCATCGCCTCCACCTTGTCTTCGCTGATGCGCTGCGTCGTGCTCGGGATCTTCCTCCGCGCGGTCCCCCGCAATCAGCATCCCTCAGCCTACCCCCGCCACCCCACAGGGACACCTCCCACCTCCCACCTCCCACCACCACCGCGCTCCCACCAAACCCACCCCCCCCCTCCCCCAAAAAATACATAAAACGGCACTTGAAAGAATAGAACCAAATAATCAAACAGCATAAACACAAATCAGCAAAATTCACAGAAAACAAGATAAGAACCACCAAGCAACTCAAAAACCAGAACAACCCCCAACAAAATATTTAATCAAAGCATACATCATTAAATAATTCAAACAAGCATACCAACAAAACAGCAAAAATAAAAACCATCAAAGAACCCAAACTCAAACACACACATCAACAAATTTCAAAGCAACATACCAACTAAAAATATCAGAAGAGTATCAAACAAAATAAAATACAAACAGCCAAAGCACGAAAAAATCAAAAGAGCATACCAAGTTCAAACAACGCACTTTGAAAGAGATAAGCAAATCAAGAAAAATACAATATTTCAATCTTTACAAACCATAAGTACAGTATAATTATAACATATAAGATTTTACATGTTATTATTATAGTATGATTATAATTTCAGTACAGGATAATAATTTAATTGATTTGTCTTACTTCTTTCATACATCATTTTAAAAAAAAATATTAATATCTCTCAATGTATTTTGAATATTAAACTTTTTATTTTCAATAAATAATTTGATATTTTCTTGCACATCTTCTCCTTTCTCTTGACTATATCCCAACATCCATAATATATCATAAATCATGTGATATTTTCTTACTGATTTTAAGAACCTGTTTAACATAATCATAAGGTGGTATTTTATTTACAGTTAGAAATATTAAAATCTCATCTTCTACATTTCTATTATGTCTTCCTTTTATTCTCAACAAACATTTGATTAAAAATTGATTATCTCTCCATTCCTGACAATTTTCACATTCGTCTTTTTCATCCGTTGAATAATTAATAATATTATTCACTATTTCATTAGGTAAATTCAATTTATACAATTCCATATTTTCTTTTTTGAAGTGACAACAATCATAGCATTTTTTATTGATATAATTATTGATTTTGTCACCGTTCATTTTCCTCTTATTATATTAAGGCACTATTTCTTTAAGTCATGTTTAAGGCATTAATAAAAATTAAGAAACAAACCAGAAGTACAGTATAATCATAACATATAATATTTTACATGTTATTATTATAGTATGGTTTTAATCAAAGTCATTAGTATTTAAATATTCCTTTGTAATCTTTTGTATTTGTTTAAGGTTCTGTTTATTATTTTTAAATGTGTATTTTCTATCAGCAAAATCATAAATGCAAAAATCTATGCCCCAGTTTCCTAAAACACTTTTAATATCATTTATCACATCACCATACATTAATTTACCTATTATATTGTTCTTCTGTTCATCCTTAATATAATCACATATTTTATCAATTATGATTTTCAATTCTTGGTTTCTTTGTTTTATGTAGTTTAAAAATGGTTCCTTGCAATCATTTTCAATTTTATTATTTGATAAATCATACTCATCAATAAATTTAAACATCATTTTATTATTAAATTCTTCAATTGGTCTTGTTGTTCCAATTTTGCCACCATAACTAACTTCATATGATTTTTCGTAGTAATATTTAATATCATTATGAAATTTTAAAATATATGTTTCGTTATCTTGCAGTATATATTTTTTCACTTTTTCATATGTAGGAAATGTATTTAACTTTATAAAACAATATGTTCTTAATGACGAGTCATTATTGAGAAATGTATTTTCTTCAAATTCCAATTTGTATTTATCATAAATACATTGTCTCAATGTTGAATGTAAATTATTTTTATGTAAAACTTGCTTTGCATTTCTTAATAAAAAACATTTCTCGCATTCAACATAATTAAAATCACAAATGTTTTTAACAATTGGATTAGGTAAATTTAACTTAGTTAGTCCAGTTTTTTCATTTATTAGTTTACATTTACAACTACTGATAATGTCATTAACTGCTATTTTATTCAAAAAGTCATTAATAATTTTTCTTGCTCTTTTTTAGTAAATTCAAGCATTTCTATTATAATATATTAAGGCATTATTTCTTTAAGTAGATTTTAAGTAGAAAAATAATTATAACATTTAACCAAATAAATGTTATAAATATGTATGCTTATTCTGGGTCATAAGTAAGATTTGTATAATAATCTTTCCCAAAATGAGTAAAACATTTAACTTCATTATTCTTCATTATCTCTTCATCAAACTTATCAAAGGTTATACATGCTCTGTTATTCTTACTACACCACTTTTTATATCTAGCATACATTCCCTGTTTATAGACAACATTACTTTCATTAAATGATATTGAATAATTGTCACAAACAAAGTCAAGAACTAGGAAATACGGTGTTTCTTTTATCACCTCAAGTTCTGAAAACATATTTATTTATATATAATAATATGTCTTTAAGTATATTGTAAGAATTCATATATTAAATTAACTTAAAGAAATAAACATATATTAAATTATATAGTATAGTATTATGAAACATGTTATAGATTATTAAAATCAATAATTGTAGATGGTAGGAAATTTAGATACAACAAAGAAAACCTATCTCGAATGTTTTGAACAAGAAATTAAAATCAGTAGCAAACACCAATGAATATACTAGTCATGCTACAAAAACAATTCGCTCAACATACCTTAAACAAAGAATGCAAAATGCCATGACAAAATACGCTATAAAAAACAAATTCAGAATAACAGACCAACAATCAGCATTCAAAAGTTATGCTAATTCTATAAAACTAGTAAATAAACATTTTCAAGGTGAAAAGGCACTATCAATGATACACTACCAAAAAGATAGACTTTTGACCTTTTTGAAAACTAATAGAGCAATGAAACTGAATATAAGGGCAGAAGGTTTATTTTATCATTATTATGATGATGATGGTGTAATAAAACACACAGAGATTCTTTATAATTTACCTGCAACAAGGTCAAACGTATATAATGAAACCGATTTGGATGAAGCAATTGAAAAATCAATCAAAGAGATTTTATTGAACATAGAAAAGTTAGAAGGTTCAGCATCTAATTTAAAATTTATAAAGATATTATCAATCACATTACATTATGACAAATATGACCCTACTAGGGCAGGTAGTTATATTGACTTACCAGATTGGATTAAACATAAGAAAGCATGTATCAATATTCAAAATAGAGATAATAAATGTTTCAAATACTGTATTCAATCAGTAGTATTTGATAAGATTAGTAAAAGTCACCCAGAACATACTTTTCATTACAACAAATTAAACGACAATATCTTAAACTGGGAAGGTGTTAAATTTCCAACTGGTAATAAGGATATTGAAAGGTTTGAAGAAAATAATAGTAAGTTAGGTTCAATCAATGTTTATGAAATTGATGATACGTTTAATGACGAAAAAATTATAATTGATTACAGAACTAAAACAAGAGATGCTAAACATCAAATAAGCCTTTTGAAAATTGAAACAGAAAATAACCATCACTATGTTATTATTAAAAATCTAAGTCGTCTAATGAACTGGCAAACAAACAAAAATGACCAACCAAAACATTATTGTCATTATTGTTCTCATGCTTTTACTAGAAAGGATTTATTAACAAAACATTATGAAACTGGTTGTATGGCAACACACGGACAACAGTTTAAATTACCAAAAAAAGGTAGTTATATTGAATTTGCAAAATACAATACAAAATTACAATGTCCGTTTGTTGTTTATGGAGATTTTGAGTGTATAACTGAAAATTCAAATAATGGCATCAAGGGCACGTATCAGGAACACAAACCATGTGGTTATATGTTGAATGTTGTAAATTCTATTGATAATACAAGTCAACCTTTTTTATACCGTGGAGAGGATTGTTTAGACCACTTTGTAAATAAATTAAGAGAAATTACAAAAGATATTTTTGATAAAATGAATGTTAATAAACCACTGGATATTACAGATGAACAAGAAGCAGAATTTAGAAAAGCTACTGTATGTTCAATATGTAATAAGAATTTTAAACCAGAAGATACAAAAGTTCGTGACCACTGTCATTTTACTGGTGAGTATAGAGGTTGTGCTCACGAAAAATGTAATTTGGATTATTCATTTAGATATTTCAAGATACCAGTATTTTTTCATAATTTATAAAACTATGACTCTCACTTAATCATAGGTAAAGCAAATGAAATAAATAAGGAATTGAACGAAAATAAGAGAATAGATATAATTGCACAAAATAGCGAAAAGTATTACATTTTCATTTGGTTCATTACAGTTTAAAGATAGCATGGCTTTTCTCTCGGCATCTTTAGATAAATTAGTTAAATTAAATAAATATGACATAGTAGGTAAAGATGAGCATGATAAACCTATATATAAAAAACGGAATGACTGGGAGAATAATTTCCGATTTTCAACAGCAAATCCATATATTAGAAATAAAACCGATTTAGACTTATTAACTGAAAAAGGAATTTATCCTTACGACTACATGAATTCATTTGATAAATTCAATGAATCGCAATTACCGAATATAGAAGACTTTTACAGTAAATGATATGAAGAAGGTATAACAGATACACAACACACAAGGGCAAAAGTAATATGGGATAATTTCAATATCAAAAACCTAGGTGAATACCATGATTTATATTTGATGACGGATGTTTATTTGCTTAGTGATGTTTTTGAAAACTTTAGGGATATGTGTTTAAATTATTATGGTTTAGACCCTGCACATTACATAACATTACCTAATTATTCATGGTCTGCCTTCTTATCTCTTACTGGTGTTAGACTTCAACAAATATATAATAAAGATATGTATGAAATGATTGAAAAAGGTCTTCGTGGCGGGATGACACAATGTGCTCATAAAAAAAGTAGAAGCAAATAATAAATACATGAATGAACAATATGA